AGGGTCAGATTAAGGAAGGTGCCAGCATGATTTAGGAGGCTACTACTCCCAATTTGGTGCCCAGATCGGGAGTCTAGAGTCAAGAAACACTTGCAGTCATCCTGGCTAGGGAAGGAGACCCAGTGAGAGTGGTCAGGAAGGGTCTGATGTCAGGAGCAGCTGAGGATGGTTTTTCCCTCCTGGGAATGAGCCTCATCTCCACAAACATGAAGAGGTTGTGTTGGCCCCTCATCTGAAATAACCCCATTATTTCAAGCTTAAGTTTCATTAAGCTTGACTATCAATACAGATAGGTCCTCACGCTCTTCTTGCTTGTGCCATTTGGGACACCCAAAAGCCACTAAGAGTGATTAAAGGCAGAGCCTTCATGAGTCCCATCACCCCATGGATAATCTACAGCTGAGAAAGGACAACTTGTGCATGGGAATTACAAACCAGCACTGACACATGCAGATTCCCAAGGAAAATTCGAGAGAAATCCACCAATTAGTTTAACTTTCAGGCAGTGATTATTTTGTCCACTTGAATACCATTTTTAAATTTAGTAAGGTGTTTCTCCCAGCTTCATTTAAAGAGAGAGGATTGGTTAGAAAAGAAAAAAAAAACTCTTTATTTCTTCTTTGTTTTGTTTTGTTTTGTTTTGTTTTGTTTTGTTTTTTTGGCAGTGGGGGAATACTACTCAAGTTCTATTCTGCCCTTAAAGTGACCATTATTGCGAATGTTTGGATAAAAAGACAGAAATAATTTGGGGCTTCACCTTGGACTTTGATAACATTTTGCTCTAGGCAATGATATTTCATAGCTTTTTGGAGGGGTCTTTCAAAGAATGCAAATAGAAATATATTTTAAATAGAAGCTATGGGATTACAAAAACTATCAAAGTTGAAATAGAGCCTCAGAGACAGACATATCACCTGAAAAGACAAATGAACTCACTCAAGTTCATTTGAAGCTAACAGCTTCCTTTGAACTCCTCCAATTATTCTATAGCATAGACTGCACTTGCTTTATGGACATCTTCTCATGAGCCAACCCTACCCAAATTACTGGATTTAATATTAAATCCCGAAATGACAGGAGGAGCTGGTGATATGTGTCCCCTCTACATATCATTTCCCACAAGGCCTAAAAAGGATCATCATACTTTATTTTATGATCAACGGGTCATTCATCTATATCTGCTTTGAAGCCACAGTAGACTTTTTGCCAATCACTAATAGAAACTAAACAAACACAGCCAGTGTCATCTGTCTGTGTGGTGAGTAATTATGAGGGATTCCTCTTTAAATAGATGCTTAAGTAAATATAGAAATATTGTTTTACAAACGCTGGCTCAAGAAGAGATGCTGGGGAATTACAAAGATGGGACACTTCAATAAGTATGCATCTTAATACAAATATGACCCCTACACGGTTACCAAGTACATAGTAAAAAAAATTGCTATTAGGCTTTTTATAGACAAATCTATGCTTCCTTCCATGCACCATCTTGGGTGTGAAACATATTGTCCTATTTCCAGAGCATAATTCATGAAAAGGACCTTTTCTTTGGATGTTCTTGCCCTCATGAGCAGCAGTATTTATCTCCCAGGAACCTGGGGGCCTAGTTTATGAAAGGCATTAGGAGTCCATGCAATATGACATAGGGTGGTAATGCAGCTGTGTGTTCTCTCCATGAGCCATTGGGTTGTGTCTCAGCCCTGACTGAGACCTTGGTGGGCAGCTCTCGATTAAGTGGAGGTGGAGGGAAGATGAACTTGGAAAGAGGAAGCCATTGGGAAGCCACTGCAGATGTCTACGGACCAGGCATGTGGTTGGTGGCACTACTGCTCTCAGCTGAGCTCAGGAGGTTGACAATGGAAGATTTATCTCCCGGGCAAATAATGAGGAGGATGGTACTGGAGGCCTGAAGAGCTGGGTCAGAAGCCGCAGCCCCGGCCAAGTAGAGGTGGCAACAGCCCTGGCTCCCACTTTGCCCTTGGGCTTCAATCACCCAAAAGCCTGGTGTGTCACCAAGGTCTCTATTTACTTTGTGGGAGAGAGACTGGTACCTCCAGTGTGACTCATCCCGCGCTGAGATAGGTGTCTCAGATAAGGACAGGAATTGCCCTCTAAAGCTATCTGTCTCCTTGCATAGGCACCAGAAACAAACAAAAAAACAACAACAAACAAACAAAAAAAACAACAAACAAACAAACAAAAAGACCAGGTGAGACTAGAAATCTTGCTTTCTGATGGCCGGCATTAGGTAAAGCAAACATCACCTCTGTGCTGCATCTTATAGATGGCTTGGGCCAGGTGAGTGACACGGTGGCACGTTGGGAAGTCCAGGAGTTAATTGCATTTTTCCTCTCTAGTCTGAAGAAAAGAGATGGAGCACCTGGGAAGATACAGGAACAAAAATCCACGCTGCCCACAGGCAGACAGCACAGTGGCTCTTAGGTTCTCACGGAATATGTTATTTTCCTTTTAAATAGGAGAACAAGTCTGGACCTTCTTTGGATTAAGCATTTGTATCAGACGGCGTGCCTTCCCTCCAGAGAAAATAAACGTGCAGGTTTGGGTAACGCGCTTTTGAAAATCCAGTCTTCAAATTACACTTTACTATTAATGCTTTTTTTGCTCAGTTTGTGCAATTTAGATTGGGAAATCAGGATAGCTAGTTCCCATCTCATCCAATATTTCTGGTTAACTTGAAACTCTTATTTCAGATTCACAGGAAAATTTTCACTGGACGTAGGTGGTGTGAGACAGCATGCTGATTTCATGTTGGTATCACCCTTTAGTTCTCAAACACTTGCCACTACTTGGGAGCTTTGAAGAAAATCCAATTCCAAACAAGTTGCTTTTGCTGGAACTAAGCCACGCAAAAGATTTTCATGCAAGCATTTCTGTGGGGTTTGACATCTGCAAGAAGTTATTAAAAATCCCAACCCTACATTTAGACCACAGAGGATTTTTCAATTATCTGTTTTAATACACCGGTGCTACTAATTTCTAAATTATCAGGTGTGAAGGGCTATTGCTACGGTCTAGACACCCCACCTGAGCACAGCAGGTCTGCAAGACTTCCCTGGCTCCATACAAGTTGAAACTGGCTTCTGAACACTACCAAAACCTCATTTCAAATCTGTTGCTGCAAGAGACTCCACCACAACCACTGGTAATTACTCTAACTAGATCCTTACCAGCAGAAAATGATGCTCACTTGGGCATGCATGTCTCGCTTGGACATCCTCAGAAGAAATCCCAGATGTTGGCACAGCCTCTATCTTGGACAATGGAGAGTGTCCAGATTCTTGTTGTTTAAAATGAGGATTATATTTGATATGAGTACAGGACATCTAAGACCTATTCTCTGGAAACACAACTATTGCACAGTATAACTGCAACCTTCTACACTTAAAACGTCAGGGCTTATGAAGTACTTGGCTCTCCCGGATCTGCTTTGTTGACCTTCCTTTGTTCTATTATGTCAAGCTATAGGCCAATATGAGCAACGCTGAGCCCAAACAACCCTAAACAAACATGCATTTTTTCTTATTAGACCAGACTGACTCCAGTGTTTGATGGGACAAAATGCTCATCAGCATTAGTGAGATTTTTTCCCTAAGAAAAGATCATGAAAAAATGGACTGGTATCTCACCACCAGTGGAGAATTCTGGCTGATGTTTGAGGAAAAGAAACTAGTGCATCTGGCCAGGCCACTGCAATAAATACAGAAAGACATATAAATGATGTTAAGGTTATGACCTACAGTGCTAGAAAGGAAGGAACTCCAAAATTATATCCATACCTGCTAGCAATAGGAAATGCAGAAGCTGGAGATTTTCCTCTCCCTTTGACACTCTCCCTTCCTCTTTCCAACTGCTTCTCCCTGCCAAAACAGTTTGGGGTAGTTTGCTTGTTTCCAATGAGGGGATTGTGACTTGTGAGCTGATGGATGCAGTGGTGGCTTTTGACCATCTTGCTCCTGAAGAGGGTCCTGTAGAGTAGCAGGACCCTGCATTGCTGCTGCTGTCTAAGGAGCTGAACTTCAGCCTGTGATAAATCCCCTTAAAGCGTGATACTTCATGCCAAAAATCAGGAGATTTTGATAGAGTAGTGACTGAATGACACACCATTACCTGGTCCAAAGCTTGTCACATACTATAGCTACAAAGCTTGGCAGATACTATAGCTAACTAAAAGGAAAATGCTGTAGATCCTGCTCTTGGCAGATACAATTATTTGAAATACGAGAGGATTTTGATTTGCAAATAAAACCCTTCAAGCTGTACACAGCTATGCTGTCCAGGTGGGCTTAACCTTTAAAATACTCCAGCAAACCTGCTTCACCTTCTGTTTCCATAAAGGGGAATAAAAGTCCCTTTCTGAGAATCTACACACTGAGGCAAGTCTGAAAATATATATTCACTAATGCAGAGGTCTGACGCACAGAAAAGCAGGAATTGTGCAGGGAAGAGCTACAGGCGAGATGGTGCACTAAGAACAGAGGTTGGACATTGCTATTGAACCTCCTGCTCTGCAAGATCCTGAGGAGCCCCATGGAGCACACGTAGATCCTAAAGGCATGTGCTCTAAGTTCACCTCTGGGTTGGACTATTGGAGAAGGACACCAGACTCTTCCTCATCAGGGTGTGTTGTAAAAGGGATTTGCTGGCTGTCCTTTCTCTGTAAAGCCCTGCCTGCCTCCGATCCTCTTCTCCGCACGTGCCTTTAGG